CCTTCCTCGCCCGTCGCCATGTTTCTGTAATAGCTATGATATCCCAGTCCCAACATACCGTCTATGCGCTGAGGTCATTCACCTTACCTTGGGCCTTTTGCATTGAAATAAATGCAATTTTAATGCCTCACCTGTATCTTGTTTTCTACCATGCTCTTGCCCTTTTTGTCTACTGGAGTTGCCCCCCTTAACTACTGTACCAGCCTCGACCACCTCTCTTGTCTCACTACTGCTTTGGGCACACCCCACCCAATACAGTACTAGTTTTAAGCCTCCCAAGTAGCACAAGCAAATCTCCCTGCTAGGATATCGGTCCTCCTGCACTTCAGGTGCAACCTATCACTCTCTTGTAAGGGTCATTTCTGCCCCAGAAGAGTTCATAGTGATCCAAAAATGTGAATCCCTGCCTCCTGTACCACCACCTCAGCAACACATTCATAAACATAGAACTGGACAGCACAGGAATGGGCCCTTCTGCCTACAATGTTGTGCCAAACATGACCCCAAATGAAACTAATGCTTTCTGCCTCAACTTGGTCCATATCCCTCCATTCCTGGCATATTCATGTGCTTACCTGCAAGTCCCTTAAATGCCCCTATTGTAGCTGCCTCCACTACCCCTGACAACATGTTCTAGACTCCTACCACTCGGTATTTTTTTAAACTTGCCCCTCACATCTGTGAACTTTACCCCCCTCACCTTTAAATGTATGCCCCCTGATTTTAGACATTTTAACTCTTGGGGGGGGAAAGATTCTGACTTTCAACCCTATGTATGCATCTCATAATTTTATAGATTTCTATCAAGTCTCCCTTCAGCCTCTGCCGCTTTAGAGAAAATAAACATGAATTTTTCTAGCCTCTCCTTTACAGCTCATACACTCCAATCCAGGCAGCATTCTGGTTAAACCCCTTCTGTACCCTGTTGAAAGCTTCCACATCCTTCCTGTAATGTGGCAACCAGAATTGAATGCAGTACTCTAAATGTGGCCTAAGCAAAGCCTTTAAAAAGCTGCAACATGACATCCTGACTCTTGTACTTACCTCCCCAACTAATAAAGGCAAGCATGCCATGCACCACCTTTACCACCCTATCTACTTTCAGGTAGTTATGGGCTTAAACACAAAGTTTTCTCTGTACATCAATGCTGTTCAGGGTCCTGTCATTGATTGTGTATACTTTTCCTTAGCATTTGATCTCCCAAGATGCAGCACCTCACACTTACCTGGATTAAACTGCATCTGCTATTCCTCCACCCATCTTTTCAAGTGATCTATATCCCGCTGTATCCTTTGACCTTCAGCACTCTCCACAATACCACTGATCTTTTTATATCTTCTGCAAACTTACCAACTCGCTCATCGACATTTTCATCCAATTCATTTATATGTATCACAAACTGCAGAGGTCCCAGTACAGATCCCTGGGGGACACTACTAGTCATGGATCTCTAGCCTGAAAAACACCCTTCCACTACCCTCTGTCTTCTGTAAGCAAGCTAGTTTTTGAATCCACGTGGCCAAATCACCATGGATCCCATGCATCTTAATCTTCTGGATGAGCCTACCACAAAGTGAACCTTTGTCGAAAGCCGTACTGAAGTCCATGTAGACAGCATTCATTGCTCTACCCTCATCGATCACCTTCATCACCACCTCAAAATTCAATCAAATTAGTAATTCATCTGGAGCTAGTAGGAACTGCAGATGCTAGAGTCAGAGATAAGTGTGGAGCTGGAGGAACGCAGCAGCAGCAGCAGGAAGGTTGACATTTTGGGTCAGGACCCTTCAGAAAAAAAAAGGGTTCTGACCCAAAACATCAACCACCTTGCTCCTCTGATACTGCCTGGCCTGCTGCGTTCCTCCAGCTCCACACTGTTATTCTCAGTAATTCATCTGCCCTATCTTCTTGTGCCTATTCTCACTGTCCCATATTACTGGGAGTAATCACTGCCCTTGAGGTCCTGCTTTTTAACCTGCCTCATTTCCTATATTCTCTCTGTAGAACCTTTATCCCTTCCTCTACCTGTCATTGGTACCAATCTGCACAAGGACCTCCGTCTGCTCACTCTTTCCCTTCGAGAATTTGCTGCAGCTGCTCCGAGACCTGTTTGACCCTGGCACCAGGGAGGCAACACACCATCCTGATGTCATAAAAACCAAAAGCATCGTCATGTCATGCCTTTCTGTGCCTCTGACCAGAGACCCCAATTGCAATCAATCGCTTGGACCTTGACCTTACACCTCTCAAGAGCAGAATCAGTTGCAGTGCCAAAAACCTAGCCTCTGAGAGGCCCTCTTCCCCACCTCTGCTATATCCAGAACTTTTGTACTTTATTTGAGAGGGAGGAGACTCTTGCACTACCTGCCTACCTCTCCTGACTATGTATCTGTGGTGTGACCACCTGAATCTACTATCCATCATGCTCTCACTCCTTTTAAACTCCCTAGTGCCTCCACCTGCCGTTCCAACTGATCCATGTGGCCTGATCGTACATTTTGCTGCAGCACCTTTCTGCAGGCGTAGTTGTCAGGGACGGTCAATTATTCCCTGATCTCCT